AGGAAGGACACCTCCCGAGTCCCCACAGGGCGTCAGGAGTATCTGCTGTCCCTCCAGCTCTGTGGTTGTGTCAGGACGCTGCCGTTTCCAGCAGTGTCTAGCACAAATAACTGTTTAGTAAATGTCTAATCAATAATGAGGAACCCAGGCCCAAGAAGGACTTAAGTGGCTGAATTTTCCAATATTAATGAATGAGTCATATTAATAGTCCTGAATACCAAAATAACGTCAGCATCTATACACCCGAAATCTACTATCATAACAGCTTCTTGTATTGTTATTCACAGGCAGTCCAGTGAGGGCAGGTTTTAAAAGCCTCAGTAAGCAGACTGAGTTTCTAGTCCCAGTTCTGCCATGCAGGTGCGGTGCTGTGTGACGAGGACACACGCCTGTCTTCCCCAGTACACTCAGGTACCCCACTTACAAAAAAGAACAGGTTGAATTAGACCAGACACAGTCTGATCCTTGACTTATTCCCGTCTGCCAGCTGTTGCCACGTACATGTTTGCTTGAGGCCCGAGAGGTCCTCCCTCCCTTCGCCCAGCACACCTCAAACTTAAGCCCAGGTCGTCTTCTGGCACCGGGCGGCAGCCGTGGGCGTCCTGGGGTCTCCCCGGCCTCGCGGGTGTCGACCCTCCTACTAGGGGCCGGACACTCCATCTGCACCCACAAGGGGCGAACCCCTGAGAGCCGCCCTCCAGTGCCAACGCCGAGCCTCCTGCTCCGCCCCGGGGTGGGGCACTACCGCCTGGGCTCTGCCCGGCGCCGCCTGCAGCTCCGGTCCGCCCTCTCCAGGGCGTACTCCTCCTCGGCGCTGGTGCTGCCACACACACACACACATACACACACACACACACACCCATCTGCATGCACGCCGTGCCGCCTACCAGAGTAGCCGACAGACACTGTCCCAGCTCTCTGCAGGCCTCACGCACAGCCGCACAGCCCAGCCCCAGCGCGGTGCCTCACAGTTAAACCCCTGCCAGCAGCTCGGACCGCCCTGCTGCTACAAAGCCTATGGGTCCCGGCTCTGTGCTAAGTCCTGCGGATTTAACAATAACGGGTCTTTAATCCAGAAATATTCGGGTATGTTCAGCACGAGGGATCTTGAGTCTTGCTTCCGCGGAAAGCATCTTGGCCTTTGTAAAAACCTCACTGCTTACACACACACACATCCCCCCACACACACCCACACACACACAATGTGCGTGTGAGTCTGCCTCACCCAGTACCCAGGGACTTCAAGGATACACATGGACCTCCTCTTTTGCACCCCTTCCGGTGACCATATTCCAGTCGCAGACTAACTCAGAGACTGCAGTGAAAGGAGGTGGAGGGGAGAAAAGTAGGGTGCTCGAACTGCTAAACCTTCGCGTTTTCCCCAGTAGGAAATTTACCTGGATCAGCATGGAGCCGGGTCTTCACTGAAGACCAGACTCTTACGCAGCCCGATTTCCCTCCCCACCTACCCTGCTCTGTCCTGCCCCTGAAAACGGTTCTCGTTCTGGACAAACAAGTAGAGCTGTCCCCTGTTGACCCTGACTTGGGCGCATGTGACAGAGCAGGGCCTGACTTTCTTTCCGACCAGGTAGGCCAACAGAAGCCTCCGGGAGCACAGCCATGGGAGTTTATAAATAAAGCCAGGACGCGGAGAGTATCCTTTTTCTCCTGCTTAAAAAGGGCGGACAAGAGTACTAACCAGCCAAGTAAGGGAGACTGGGTAGACGGCTTAAGTGCACTTTTCCGAGCCCTGCACAGCACTTTCCTTCAAACTAGTCATGACCTAGATTTCTACTCTGATGAAAATGGAATCACAGCAAAAAGGATTTTTTCCCACTGATTCAAAGGCTAAAATAGCTGACTAATTTTACATACTTGTCACAGTGGGGTAAGAGCCTCCTCTATATGCAGTAGTTTTTAATAGAGAGTGTCATTAGGCAGGTTCAGGGTGAATCTGCATGATCTGAAAGACATCCAAAGCATCTGGAATCTATGCACAACAGTTGACACAAAGTGGAAACTAGAACATTTGAGAGGTTATGGCTTTTTTATGAGCTACTATTTTCTTCTATGTTCCCTGTTTAATATATATTTAGAGTTATAAACTGAATCAGATATCCCTTTCAATACCCTTTTAATGTCTCAAAGAGAAAGCCATAAACATACATTTGCTTTATGCTCTTCAACTATTTCAATTGAGTCATCATTGAAGGAAGTGGTTCATGATTTTATACAGGAGAGTTATAGTGAGCATTTATAAAGCCATCCTGCTTATGAGCTAAATTTATTATGTTTGCCAGGTTAATCTGTTTTCTCTAATCGGACACTTCATCATCCAGTCTCCTCCCTGCATTATGGATTCATGAATGTGAACGGAGGAGAGTTGCTCAGTCAGGGCAGGATGATGAATTATCTTTTCATTTTGGGGGTATTTGTGATTAAATGCTTCGTAATAGAATTAAAAGGAAATAAATCTCATCGTTTTACTTCCAGATCCCTGCCAGGTATAGATCAAAAGCATTCAGTAAAGAGCAAATTCAATTCGAAGCCTGGGTGGGATTTCGAGGAGAATCAGAAAAAGTGTTAGAGTTCAGGAGAGCCCTGAGTTCCCCTTCATTTATATAGATCAGAGAGATAGCTGATCTCTCCATAGTTTATGAGTGGGCAGCAGGGAATGAAAACGTCCATTCGGGAAGAAGGAGGAATTCGCCTCAGGCAGTGGTAGGCCAACTGTTTTGGTTCTAGAGCTGCCATCTTGAGACCTGTGCCTACGGTATGCGTGGTCTGGGACTAGAACAGATGTTAGATTACAGCCAAAGAACCCATTCCTGTTATTTTGGAGTTATCTTGGAGTTTTATCGAGGAAAACTCCAAGTGGATGGCACTTTTGGTTGCTGCCTAGTTGAGTCATCAGGGCTGGATCATATTGCAATCGCCATCATTGAGATGATTCGGCTGTGTTACGTGAATAAAGTTCACATTCCAGCAAAAAGCCCTGTGAGCTAACAAGAGTTGTTATTTGCCGTTTAACACATGGAGTCTAAAATCCTCTGGCACTGTGTGGTATTAGACGCCTCAAAGCAATCCTATATTTTTGTTGCATATGTTCCTATTAGCAAGGTGCTCTGAAATATGTTCTCATTTGATCCTCACAACAAACCCGTGCGTGCTATTCATGTCAAAGCTTCTTCCAAGTTATTTAGCTTCTACCATCGAGTGTATAAACACATGGAGAGCAAAGGCGATACTGGAAGCAGTAGGGTAGGAGGGTGGAAAATGAGGGAGGACAAGAGGGTGGGGATCAAGGAGAAGAACGTTGAAGGGACCCAAAGTGGAAAGAAGTCTGTTGATTAAAGTGTTTATGGTAATGACTTCGACTGGACTGATAGGCAGTATATTCATAATGGCAAAATTGATTCGGTACGCTGAAAGGATACACAGTCATTATATATA